CTATAGACTTCTATGAAACCATCTTCCAGATGGGAGCTAGACGTGGCCAAAAGGAGACTTGCAGCACTGAATGTCAACAATCGATCAGCAGCCATTAGCTCTCGGTAAGCACACATCTGCGGAGGGTGAGGGTGGGAATGTTTACATCGGGGGGGGGCAAAATGAATTAGTGTACTTTGTCTAAAAGTACTGATCAGATATTCACAACAAACGTTTAATTTTAAGGAAAGCCACCAGTCTTATGATTCTAGCAGTTAGTGAGAATCACAATCACCTTTCTTCAGTCATTATGCCACTACTGAAGCAGAAAAGAGAAGTCTCTGCTATTGTCACTGCCCTGCTTCACTGAAGCAGGGCAGAAACACTGATCAACTATCACAGTGTTTAGAGGCTACAAAGCAGGGAGAAAGAGCAGGTAAAGCCTGCACGGTCAGCTGTGTGTGCACACTTTGCATTAGAGAATAGAGCAAGTTGACCTCCAATCAGAGTAGTAGGATGGGGACAGGGAAAGAGGGGGGGGAGCAAGTGACTAGGATGTCACTTGCTCTTGCAGTGACATCCTAGTTTAGGCAGCAATGAGGTCACACTGCCTGCCCAGAACTTGTAGAGGAAGGGATGCAACCGGCCAGGAATAGGCAGCCTGCTGAGGCAACTAGTCACCATAACAGGATGTTCATTGCTGCTGACAATTTCCAGCCCTGCCTTTTACTCGTATTACAAGCATTAATAACAGATAAAGCAAAAACATACAAGTTTAAAAAGGTATGATATATATGCAGCTCGACCGACACACATTTGGTTTACTTCAGCTTTAATTTCCAGTGATGGATAAATGTATATACACACACACACACACACGCATCTGGAGCCTATACTCAAGTCATTATTCATAAAACTCGTGTCAGATGTTGACATGCATATAAAACTGAAATCAATGCGCATATTACTTTTAAAGCTTTCAGCTATTTGATAAACAGACCCTAAATTATAATTTGCTGAAATAAAAATCAAGACACTGGAACTGCAGAAAGTAAAACCATTAGGTGAGAGGGAACTAATCACAAACTAAACTGAGCTTCAAAAGATGATTGTGTGGTTTAAAGGAGGCAATTATTCAGAGATGTTTTGTTGCTGACAATAGTATATTAGTCCATTCATAGGTAGTGAGCAATGCAGTCAGTTCCATTATTGTAAGGCACTAAACAATTCACCCATGGTAGCTCCACTTCTACTGACATCTAGTGGAGAAATAAAACTATGCCAACTGTCTTCAAAAAAAGGAATCACCAATACGTTTACAGTTACCACAAATGCATCCAAATCAATACCAAAAATCAATAACATAAAATGTTGCTGAACATCCCATCAACAGCTGAACACCAACTACTTCGCATTTTGGCTTTCCAAATTAAAATCAAATGTGCAAGCTTGGATTTTAATTTTTAAAATGGAAAATGGATCAGTATTTATACAGCTGCAATTGTTACTAACATTGAACTGCCCATCTGTTTCAAGCAAAGCATACTCAAGAAATTTTGGACCATCTGTAAAAAGACATCTAACACGATGCAGCATTAATCCATCAATTCAGCAAAGTGTACAGGCACAGTCCTGGCCAAAAATATTGGCACCCAGGCATTTGTCAGATAATGCACCCTTCGCGCAGAAAATTGTTGCAATTACAAATGTTTAGGCATTCTCATGTTTATTTCTTTTGTTTGTATTGGTATAAACACAATAAAGTGGAGAAGAAAAAAGCCAAATCTGACACATTCCACGCAAGACTCCAAAAATGGACCGGACAAAATTATTGGCACCTTCCCCAAATTGCAAGAAATAATTGCATTCCAAATTTTTGTGGAAAAGCATGGACAATCCTAAGGTTACAAGTCCATCTCCAGAGATCTTAATGTTCCTGTGTCTGTGCACAACATTGTCAAGAAGTTTACAGCCCATGGCACTGTAGCAAATCTCCCTGGACGAAAGAGAACAATTGATCAAAGATTGCAACAAAGGATTGTTGGAATGGTGGATAAAGACCCTCGATCAACTTCCAGACAAATTCAAGCTGACCTTCAGGCACAGAGTACAACTGTTCTGTTTGCCTGAGGAAGGAGCCGCTGTTGTTCCGAAACGTTGCTATATGATGTGATATCAATCGAGTCAATAAACCGTTTTTTACTTGGAATTCTATTGGAGTGCAAGTGACTTTATACATACACTTATCTTGGATTGCAGAGGCGGCATCTGCAGTCACTTTGGCACCCACCCGACTAAGGGTTTTATTTGGTCAGGAGTGCGATGGGTACACTGGATTTTAGCTTGCACAATACATTGCCATCTGAATGAAAAGAGACGCTATGGTAGGAGACCCAGGAGGACCCCACTGCTGACACAGGAACAAAGTCAGATTGGAGTTTGACAAAATTTACCTGAGGAAGCCAAAATCCTTTTGGGAGAATGTGCTGTGGACAGACTAAACAAAATGACAGCTTTTTGGTGCAGCCCATCATTCTACCGTTTTCAGAAAAAGAAATGAGGCCTTAAAAGATATAAATACATTCCCTACAGTCAAACATGGTGGAGGTTCACTCATGTTTTGGGGTTGCTTTGCTGTTGAAGGCACTGGATGCCTTGACTGTGTGCATGGCATTATGAAATCTGAAGACTACCAAAGAATTGTGGGGTGTAATATAGGGCCCAGTGTCAAAAAGTTGGGTCTCAGTCAGAGGTCACAGGTCTTACAGCAGGACAATGACCCAAAAAGCACCCAGAAATGGTTTCAGACAAAGCGCTAGAGAGTACTGGACTGACCAGCAAGGAGTCCAGATCTAAATCCCATAGAGCACCTCTGGAGAGATCTCAAAACAACAGTTGGGAAAAGGAACCCTTCCAATCTGAGAGACCTGGAGCAGTTGGCGAAAGGACAGTGCTCCAAAATTCCTGTAGAGAGCTGTAACAAACTCATTGATGGTTACAGGAAGCCATTGATTTCAGTTATTTTTCCAAGGGCTGTGCTACCAAATATTAATCGAGGGTGCCAAAACAAAAGAACTAAACATGAGAATGCCTAAACATTTGTAATTGCAACAATTTTCAGCGCGAAGTGGTGCATTATCTGACAGAAATGCTGGGTGTCAATATTTTTGCCCATGACTGTATATACATTGGATTGTCAGATAATGAAGTGGTGCATTATCTGACAGAAATGCAGGGGTGCCAATATTTTTGCCCATGACTGTATATACACTGGTTGCTGCGTGATCGCATTGCAACCAGTCTTCCAAATATTCATCTAAAGAGCTTCTTCCTACCACCTAAGAAAAATAGGTCAATCTTGTGGACAGCAAACGCCACACAAATTCCCGAAATCAGCAGGCTTTTTTTCTTTTTAGATTGAGTGACAAATCACCTAATACGTGTGGGTTCGTGGGTTCTTAATGTATATATAAATAAACGGGGGAAACGCAACAAGATAGAAGTAATGCTGGAAGATGCACATAATCCGCATTATAATCAGAACCTTTTGGCTGTAATTACCTCCTCTCACAATGCTCATTGGATATCAATGAGAAGATGTTGATCTGTGAAACCTAAAAAAGGTGCCCATACACTGTACGATTATCGTATGTGAATCGTGGGAAATCCCAGAATCGTACTATAATCGCAAAGTCTATGGAAGGCGTGCGACCGTTACTACTGTACGATCGCACGTCTTCCGTCGAACAAGCACGCTGGAAAACCCGCCCAGAATCGTACGATTCTCAGCGGTGGCCTGCTTGTTCGACAACTGCCGAATGGGCCAGTGTGCACGCGCGCACACTGCTCGTTTAGCATTGCAGTCATCAGGGGGGCGGGCTTGCGATGATCGCAAGTACGATCTGCCTGTCCAAGATGGGCAGATCGTATGTTTTTTTTCTTTATTACTTTACAACCCTCGCAAGACAGAAGTCTTGCGAGGGTTGTAAAGTCTATGGCCACCTTAACACTTATACTAATCAGTAGTTATTGGTTACTAGCCAACAACCATTGTGCTTTGAAAGATATTAGAAGATATGGGCACTTTTGTCCATTGCTCTGCCTAACCAGGCTACTTGAAATGAAAGGGCTGCCTTAACAAAATGCATGTTAAGAAGTGAACCGCACATGTTGTAGAGAATGGCTACAGACCACCAAATCTACAGTGGACCTTAAAGCAGGGGCGGCCACAATTTTTCGTCTGGAGATCTACTTTTCAAATGACGAGCTCATTGAGATCTACCAACGAAAAAAGGGGCGGGAGGGGGCGTGGCGGTGCATTGAAGTCAATGGCACCGCAGCCAGGCTCCGCAGGCAGGCCCCTCGCCCACAGTGCGATCGCCTGCATTAGTGCCTGTGTTCCAGTCCAGTGCGATCCGCAAAAATGCTGCGAGCACTATTTTTGCAGATCGCACTGGAATCCTCACCGCTCTGCATTAGTTCTGTGACAGCGGCTCCGTCCTCCGCCGGTTCCTTCACTTCTTCTCGGATCCCCGCTGGGGAGAGCAGCGGGGATCCAAAGAAGCGGCGGGAGGAGAGGACATGGCGATCTAGCAGTCATCGCTACGCGATCGACAGGTAGATCGCGATCGCCCTTGTGGGCACCCCTGCCTTAAAGGATATCGGTCACAAGATTAACATGAAGGTGGACATTGCAGCTAGCCCATTGACTTCAGTACTTTTTAGGCAATTACATCGATCAGGAGTTCAGTTTTCAATCTGATGCTTGTTCTGGGTCAAAGACTGAAAAAAATCTTGAAGATAGAGAACCCAGTAACTAGCTTTTTCAGAAGGAATAGTAAGCAATGGCAGCCTTACAAAATTCTCTCATGACTGCTTTTATTTAGCTCTTGTGAGAAACAGAAATTTATCAAGACCAAACAAGTCCTTATTTTTGGGGAAAAAATCAAATCCATGATAAAACACTGATTTTTTTCAATCCATGATAAAACACGGATATTTTATTCAACCTGGAACCTTACCTTTGCTTTCTTCATACTCCGCATTGCCTTCCCCAAATCTTCCACATCAATAAGACCACCATCTTCTTTCTCCCCTTCAGATTCTGACTCGCTGGTGGTTTCATAAAGCACTTCCTGCTAAAAAAAAATAAAAACACACAAAGCTAAGATGAGGGCTGGGGGAATCATACTGCAGGTGATAAAAATGGCACATAATGAAACTATAAAGAGTGTTTTTTATTAGTCATTAGGACAAATCTGACTGATTTTACCTTTTAACCCTTTCGCTGCCAAGCCCTCCGGAACATTTTTCAAATCAGCTGGCCAAGCCATTTTTGAATTTTCTGCAATTTTTTCCTATTGATTTGATTTTCAAGACGTCCTTGGCAGCGAAAGGGTTAATATAGTGTTTTTCTCATCCAAGTATCAAAGAGACGTTTCCCATCCAGGGCAAAGCGACCGTTCCTCCCGATAGCCCTCCCTTACAGCATGGTAAACTCCACTATTTCTCCTCCTTTAAACTCTTCTCCCCAGTCTGTCTTTTTCAACTCTGGTTGACCTCAACAGTTTGCTTCACTGCAAGAATTATCACTTTACTCAATACCCTGTTCACTGAATGCAGTTACAAATATTTACAAAATCTGCATCTACAAAAACCCCAGCAAGAGAAATCCAGTCAGTGTGGCCAGTGAGAAGCTTAGGGCACCTGTTGTAGGAAGCCATAAATCACCATCAGAATCTCATCATGCAAACAGAGCAACCTTGCAACCATGCTTCACAGGTAAAAGACACACTTTGTGCACAAATGGGTTCAAATTCACCTTTGAGTCATCATGTACTTTTCACCTGGATATCTTTGATTTACCTCAAAGTCATCATGTTCTGAATCCCCGTGTTTGTTCTGGTCTGCATCCACTGTAGCAGTATTATGCTCCTTTTTAGATTTACATTTTGCCTTTTTACATTTCCCACTGCAGGTTTTCTTTTCTCCCTTCAGCAGAGCCTGCAGCCTGTTGAGGAACTTCTTCTTCCAGGCTCTGAAGTCTGCTTCCATACTGCCATGTTTACTATTCACTACATTACAGTCTCCCTCGGTGCGAGTCATTATGCGGGTAGCACTGAGCATCCACAACCACTTATCAATATTTATACCGACCTGTGGAACAAAAAAAAAAAACACAGATTAAGGATCAGTTTAAAAATATCAAAGGCCTTGCGACTCTGAAGTTTGCACACATTTTTCAACCTGTAGAGCCAGAAAAGTGAACACGAATTACTTTTTTTTTGTTATGCCACTTCTGTGTCCAGCCACCTCAATGGACAATTATTCAGCACCATCCCCTTGGTCCAACAAGTTGACCTAGGAAGCAGTAATGCTAAAGCATGAAGTAGCAGAGTTAGCTTCCCAACTAGCCAAGGTGTGAGTGCATCAAAAGACTGTATTGCCACTGTATTTAGTAGACTGCCTGGCATTTTGCTTTTTATTTGTATTTCAATGTATCCACCTTGTTATTCTATAATTTTTACCTATATATAAAGCCATGTTACCTTTAACCACTTGAAGGCCATAGTGTTTCACCCCCTTCCTGGCCAGGCCATTTTTCAGTATTCAGCGCTGCGGTACTTCGACTGATGTTTATTCTGTCATGCAACGCTTTACTGAAACGATTTTCATACCATTTTTTGGGGACAGATAGAGCTTTCTTTTGGTGGCTTTTATTCACCACTGGGGTTTTTATTTTTTACTATATAACAAAAAAAGTACCCTAAATTTTGAAAAAAAACATGTTTCCCTATAAAATGTTATGAAACATTTTTTTTCACCCCAATTTTTTGGTAAAATATAAAAACAACAGTTCAGGAGAATGCCAAGTTTTATCAGTGCGTTGCTGCCATACCTCTAGGACAGGGGTAGCCAAACTCAAGCCCCCCAGCTGTGGTGGAGCTACAAATGCCATGAGGCATTGCAAGATTCTCACAGCCACGACTCCGAGAGAGATGCATCATGGGATTTGTAGTTTGTTGTAGAACACCTTAATTCTGCCTGAAGCTCTCTACCATTCACAGGGTTCTAACATAAGACAGATCAGTTTCATTTACACAACCACTTGGGTGTCCTTACTTATTAAGCCAAAGAGGAAGCTTCCACTGAGCCCAAATGTGAAATGTCAACAACTGATGAGGGTAACTTAATTTAAAAAGGAGAAATTATGGGGAGAGTGAAATACACTCCTCCCCAGAATTAGAGCTGACATGCAACACTGAAGCAGTCACACGTCCGCTCTATTGACCGGGACTGAGCTTTCATATACCGCCCATCGCTGATCTCCCGATCTTCCTGTAGAGAACGGCGACTATCAGTCACTGTTCCCTGCAGGGATTCCCCCATCCACTCTATGTTCCTCCAGTGCCGACTAGAGGAACGGATGGGCACAGCTGGCTCTGCCTCTAGAAAGGCAGAGCCAGCTGTCAATTAAGCAGCGGGGTGGATCACGATAAAATTGTCGGGATCTTTCCTGGCTAAGGCACAGCTCTGCACGGTCAGCATATAGCGGGCAAGAGTTTTGAATCACAGGAGGACATTAGTATATTTCCACCTGTGACCCCTCAAGAGAACGATGGCAAAAAGGTTGGGCCATAGTTTTCATAAGGAAAAACAGCCAGTACTTCTCTAAAAAACAGTTATAAAATAAAGTTCAGCATTTGTTTTTACAGACCAAGCCCAGACTGAAGGTTTTTCCATTTTACATGTCCTTAAAAATACTACCAGACTGGCAAAACTCTCAAAAAATCATTTAAAAAGGTACTAAGGAAAAAGCTGCTGCATTGTGTGAACGTCTGCAAACAACCAAAGTCCTGCTTTGGATCAATAAACTATTTTTGTAGATAGCAAATTATGATGAAGCAGTTTATCCTTTCTTCTTCGAGGTTAAAATATAGTAACTCTGCGTTATGCCATTTCTCGATCTTAGGATCCATTTATAAAAAGGGGCAAACACGATTATTCACCAAGCAGATGTATGCTCATTTTATATAGTTCAGCTGTCCTTCACATCCAATGAGACTTACAAACTTGCATTTGCCAGTGTGATAGGATTAGAATAATTTTTTTCCAGTGGATATCTGTCCACTATTTGGATTACACCGATTGTTTTAACATTCACCAATACTTTTCAGCATCATATTTGCTAGTTTACATTCGCTGGACAAGCTCCCACTCTGTTTTTTTTTTTGCAATTTGGCAAGTAAACAAGGTAAACTGGGTGAAACAATAAACATTGGAACACACAGGGAAAACAAAAAAAAAAAGTAAAATTACTGTATTGTAGTGGCCAATGTAGACAGAGTTTCCGAGTCCAAATACTGCATATCGCAAACCTTTCAGGAAGGTTTTTCCAAAGCGGAAGTCGTTAGAGGCTTCTTCCAGCCATTTACAGAACCACTTTGCACTCTCAGTGGGCTGCCCATCAGTGTAAGTTGCAATCAGGAAAACACAAATACTTTGAGTTGTGGTCTGCAAAGATTAAAATAATTAAAATATCAATTGCTGGTTACTTGCAATTAAAACAAAAATTCAACAGGTTACTTTAAGGAAAACACAAGCACTAAATCAATGTATAGAACTCAAACAAAGGCTAAGAAGTACTGTGAATGATGTGTGTGACGATAATGAGGTTTGAGCATATTAAAAATATCAAATATGAAGTTCTCTTGTCCCCCTGCTTAAAGCAAATGCAACCTTTCATTTAGTTTAGGTGATCCTAAATTGCCCTCAGCTGGCCAGGTCTCTTCAAATTCCGAAGATCAGTGATCTGCTTATCTGGGCCTATACTCTTTATAGTTCTTAAGTGAAGCACTAAAACTGATTGTTATCTAGCATTTCCCCTGGACCTGGACCTTATCACCTGGCAATAATCAGTTAAAGTGATATAAAAAAAAATAAGGCTTTAATATCATTGGGAGGTTGTATTTATGGCAGATCTGCAGGGGTTTTTTTTAGTTTCTCAATTCCTCGTTTTCTAGTCGTTCCCCACATCCTCTCTCCTTCTGCCCCCAGCACGAGTGCCTCCATCAGCTAAGCAGCTGCTGTGGAGGCACCCGTGTGTGCTGGTTCATGGCCCTGCCCGCAATTGGCTGTGTGCGTCAATACAATAGACACAGACAGACCTGTGGCAGGCCACGCCCTTCCTCTCCGCCCCACAGCTTGGATTGATGGGAGAAGGAGCCGATGGCTTCTCTGCCCCCAATCTCTTTACCCACAACCAGAAGGATAAAAGAACGCTGAGCCTTTATAGCTACTACTAAGTGATACCTTTATGAATGGGATTGTACATGGGATTGTACATTCCTAACAGCATGGTTTTGCCAAGCTCAGCTAATCCCCTAAAATTAGCAATTGACAGGTTTTAGATAAAACACACAGGCCTGGTAAATATACTGACCCAGGCAACCTCAGTCATAAAACTAACAATATAAACCCAATTTCATCACTTGGAATTGGGCAGTGATCTTGTAACATAGCTGGGCCTCATCAAGATGAGAAAAGACATACCAAGAATAAAAAGGTGACAAAGATCAGCGGCCTGACAAGCCACTTTAGCTCTCCTGGCCCAACCAAGGTTCATATTTACACCAAGTTTGGTTTTAATTTAAAGCTCTTTTCACGAAGCATGATAATGTAAGAGTTGTCAGGCAGTATTTTATATGAATATTCAATTATCCTCCTAGTTATGAATTTAACCGTTTGGGAGGAGCAGAAGAGGACTTGCAAAGGCTCTTACCCAGCCCTGCCCTAGGGGCTGGCTTCATGACACTCCCTAGAGGGCTGAAAAAAAGATGCTGCAGAGGCAGCTGGAAGAGGTTCTTGTTCGTAACATCAAGAAAAGGAACTGGTTGACATATCTGAATCCTGAATCCCATCCATACATAGCCAGCAAATCAAGGCTAAATCTTGATCAGAATCCTGGTCGGCAGGAGTCCCCATTTTCTTGGAAAAATTCAAAAATTAGGAGGCAGCTGTCATTTGTAAGGACCACACAGAGCTCCTGGGATTAGTACATCTCTGTTTTAATGTACGATTTTGTTTTTATAAATATAAATAAAAGGGATGCACAGATACCAGTTGTGTGAGTACGAGTACTGATACATTTTTGTTTATTGTCATGTGACAGTTTTTCTAAAACAATACAGACTAATGATTTCAGGACAGTGGTGGAGCGCCAGAGCTAGGTCCCAGCTGCAAGCGCTGCAACCCTGGTAGTTCTCATGAAAATGCCAAGTATCTGCACTGGTACTCGAAAAGTATCTGTGCATCCCTAAAAATCAGTAAATAATAACGGTACCCTTATTGATAAGTGGGTAATTTTTGTCATACTGGCCCCCTGATTGGAAGTAGATACTCATCGGTTGGAATGATATCCAGCTAATGAGTTTATAATAGCATGGACAAGTTCTAAAGGGGGGAAAGGGGACACTGTGGTGAGACTATAGGCTTTTCAGACATGTTATTGTGTTACATATGATATTGGAATGTAACGAATTGTTACTGTACAAGATGGAAACTAAAAAAAAAAAATTGAAATACAAGAAAAGGAACTCTTGCAACAAGAAGTTCGTAACATCCCAAAAAAGTTCCCCTTAAACATCTGAATGTCATCTGTGTAAGCCTTTCTTGGAGATGAGCCATTCAGATTTATCTTTTGTTTATTGAACTGGACTCAGTCATAACTCATAAACCCAGGACTGTTAAGTATTCTGTTTAAATTAATTATGTTGTCTCTCTTTCTTAAAAATAATCTTTTTCTGTATATTTTTCTGCACCATTTCTTTTATCAAAAGACGATATTAAAAATCGTTCAGCTTAAAATACTCTCTACGCTCTAAATGCGAAAAGTATCCTTGCCTCTGAAGAGCACTACTGTATAGTGAGACCTGTCATATTCCGGTCTCAAAAGACAGAGGTATCATAGGCTTTGTTTAAGCATTTTGAATTGTCACAGAATTTGCTGGGATTGGTGTGCGCTTCCGTTAAAGCACCTGATGGCAGCTAAGGTTTGGTGTGTTAAGGGTTAACAGCTAAACAGGTGCAGTCAAAGCACAGGTTAAACAATTTATTTCTGAATTATCAGTTGATCATCCGTACTGAAGATTCTTCGTTAATGAAACCAGCAGATAAAAGGGACGCTATTATTATGATGTATAGCATAGATTATCATTCTGAAGCTATGCACAAACTGTCAGATACTAGTGTGTTGGGGGGTCAAATAAATTCTGATCCTCTGCCATCTATAAAAGATAGAATTACTTATCAATTCATTCCATCTCGATCATTTTCATGGCACATTGGAGAAAGATTTTGGTTTATAATCACATTCTTCATGGCCAAGGTACATCAAGCGATTATAAAACAAAAGCTCTCTCAAAATGTACAATGAACTAATTGGCATAACTAGGGACCACATTCAAACCCATTGCTATAGTCAGTAGTTAGATTTTTTTTTTTGCGTTTACCATCAATAGTCCCTTTATGATAGAGATAGCATGAACGGATAGGTGAATCCATCTTTTTTAGGTACTATGCACTTTATTCATATTAAAGAAGTATAAAAATTCTAGTGTGCTAGCCCTGTTTTGTCATCAGGAAAATAAGATACAGAAAGCATGTTTTTAAACTTTTTTGTTTTGATCAGTGTCCCTCTTGGAGATTTTTCCCAAAACATCCTGTCCTAACAGAAAGAGAGGGTAAATCTTTCCAGAAGGGACAAAGACCAAATTCATTACCATGCCAAGGCTTAAGTAAAAATGTGATTTGGCTCCATCAAACTGCAGTCAGCATTTTATTGATGTACACAACGCAAAACGATTAATGCTTATGGGCCTTTTTATTACCCACTGAGTCATATTTTCTGGTTATTTCTTTAAAAGAAAAAAAAAAAAGTTTAGCTCAGCAATCCAAGTGTATGTTTGAGGTTTATCACTGCTCTTGTTTATTTTATTTAGTAAATCTGCCTCACTAATATTTGTATAAGTAGTTCAAAATAAAACAAGTCAACTATCAGGCTTAGTAAATAAGAGCAGATCACAAAACAGATTAGCACCAACCAATGGCAACCAATCACGCATCACTCGACTAAGTGGACTGCAAAAATCTGCACTCTGAATGGTTGCTTTGCATTAGCACATATGTTCAGTATTGTTTGTCAATTAATAAACCAGCACATTTGAAAGCCATGTAATATATGAGGTCTCAAAACATTGTTTATTACGAGACAAATGAAATGTGTATTTTATTACATTGTTCGCTATTTCCATTCATGAAAGATTGCTGGAGCATAGACGATCGGCAATTAAAGTTTTTTTAATCAGCGATGGAGACACTTTCTATAGAGACAAGGTCACCTTAGGCCATAAACAAAGTTAATGCTAATGTGCCATTAAATTTACTAGCACTGCTGGCAATTTGGAAAAACACACTTCATAGAGATTCAATAAGCGAAACTAAATCAATTTGCCTCCGGACAGCTGATGTGTGGGTCAGGTAAGATGTGATTCTGTTATAAAAGGATGGGGGGAAAAAAAAAAATGCAAAACTAGTAAACCTGAAGATTTAAAGCAGGCGTTCTTAACTGGTAGTTTCTATTCTCCTTGGAAGTAAACAGAGGTATGGGGGCGGGATTACTGAATATCTACGGTCCAGTCAGGAAAAAAAAAAAAAAAACCCAAACCAGGCTTGCAGCATTTTTTTCTGACCGGACCGCAGGCATTGATGTGCCTTACGTTCCAGTAGAGCCAATCACATTGCACTGGAGGGTGTGGCAGCGGTGCCATTCACTTCAATGCACCGCCAAGCCCCCTCCCGCCCCACAACAAAGTGAGCTGACCGCAATGCGATTCAGTGCATTGCGACCAGAATCAGGCCGGAACGCACTGTGGCTGGTGTGAACTAGCCCTTAGATTTACAAGTTTAATTAATTCTTATGTTGTAGAACACAAAATTCTATAAGCCCTGAGCGATATGGGTCCTTCTAGAGGCATGTACTGAAATTCTTGCATCATTATTACATACGCAAGTTTATACTTTACTGACCATAGGAAGTCTTTTGAAAGGAGGTGTGTGTATTGCATATTTTTTATTATTCATTTTAAATACAAAATTGACTGAATACTTCCATAAGTAAGATGTGAATTACTGCATGCATTATTCCTGGTTACCAGTACTATGTTCCACATACAAATTAAAAGGTTTGGTGACAGCCACTTGTTATAAACAGACAGCAGGGCAAAGACACAATAGCTGACTTGCTTTTAATTTCCATGTTATTCAGCTAATGACATTTTTGCATGCCAGCAGATTGAAAGGACACTGAACTTCATGTTCCATCTCATCAAAAATTCAGTGTAAAGTGTCAAAGTAATGTAGATCAAAATGCTAAATACAGGTCAGCTAGTTCCTGAAAATGTGACACACACACACCACACACACTTCTGTAAAAAAAAAAAGCTCATCTTCTGTGC